AAGCCCATCCCGCGGGGCCGCGGCGGGCTCGGTGAGGGTCGGAGGAAGGGGGCCGGGGACAGGGGCGGGCCGAGCCTTGGCGGGAGAAAAGCCCGGGTCTGCCGCCACTGCAGTGCTCCGCCTGCGGCGAGGTGCTGCGCCCCTCCGCGCCTCGGTGTCCTCCTTGCAGAACTGAGGCGCACTGCTGAATTGGACGCTAGCTAAGGGCCTTTCCAGCGCTGGGACAGTGGCTCTAAGTCTGAGAAGTTAAGATAGTAGCGGTTCTCGGGCCAGGCGTGTTTCTGCATATGGCCTCGTGCGATTTTGAGAGCAACTGAAAATGAAGGTGCCAGCCGGGGGATCTCTGGAGACCCTGCGATTCCTCTGAATCCATGTTGGTACCTAAGCTGCTTCAGTCACTGCTGGCGAGTGATAACGCTTCTTTCCCCCCGCAGATTTAATTGTTCAAGCTAAATCTGGCACTGGGAAGACTTGTGTGTTCTCCACCATTGCTTTGGATTCCCTTGTTCTTGAAAATTTAAGTACCCAGGTGAGTTTAGCTCAGAGGGCCCAGAGGAGGGTGATTTGGGTGGACTTTACCACTGTTCAGATGAAACACCAAAAGCCTCTGAGAGGTGGAAGTAAATTTGATGAAAGGTTGAGTCAAGCCATATGAAAAATAAAAGTAGACCCGAAGGTTGTGAGTGGTGGTGGTGTTAGTTGCCAGGGATACATTATTAGTGAAGTTTAGAATTTTCTATTATTACCACATCATAAATAGAGTAGGTGTGCCACATGGGTCAGTTTTGTCTTTACTTGAGAATACAGACAAGAATTCTTTATTCTTTTGCTTACTGAATTGGGGTGAGACTTAACATTTGGCTTGATTTATGGTAATGTGGTTTTCTGGCTGTTGCTGGTTGTAACTACAGAAAGTTCTTGGAGCTCTGTGAATGAATCATACTCATCTTGCATCTTCTAGGTTGTCTTGGGTTATTTCTAAGTCACCTTACCCAGATTAGCAGATTTGAGTCTGGAGACAGTTTCTTCAGCAACGATAGATAGATATGATTGATTGATTAATTGAGAGATTTTTGCTGTAGGGCAGAGAGACAGAGGGAGACAGAAAGCTATAAATCACCCCCCAGGGGAATGGTGGTGCTGCAATCCCTTGTCTACTCTCCTGGGATTCTGGGCATACACATGTGCCAGGCATGGTTTCAAGCTGGCTTCACTTCACCCATGCTGGGCCATGTGGGAGTCCAGTGCCTTAACTATTACATCACTTTCTGGCCCCATCAGCAAAGATTTATTGAATCTATGTGACATATAAACAGAATGCGAGGCATTGGGGAGTCAAAGATAAATTAGATGTAATCCTCATACCTTTGTATTGTTACCAAACTCAAATCAGGTTCACTCACCAAAGCGCTATAAAACCAAACCATAGGCACACGGTGTGATGAAGGAAAGTACAACTTTATTGCAAAGCGCAAAGCAAGCAGAGCAGGCAGATCATGCTGAAAAGATTCGGTCTCGGGACCAGCAATTAGCGTAATGGCTATGTCGCTGGACTCCCATGTAGTCAACCACTGTTCGTGTCCTGGACCCAGTGGCTTAAAACTCACAAAAAAAAAAAAAAAAAAAAAAAAAAAAGAAACAAAAAGTCGGGTCTC